TCGACAGGTTATAATACTAAGGCTACTTACACTCTGTATAACTATGGTATGAATGTTTTTGGGTGCATTTTTTTAGATATAAAAGGGTGACAAACAAGCATAAAGTCATAGCACAGTAAGTGGATGCTTTTTCCTATAGGCATCTATACCTTCGATTAATAAACAAAAATTTCGCTGAAATATTTTAGAATATTCCCAAGAGTGAGGAACCGTACTTCAACTTGGGAAATTTGTAGGAAATATGACATTATACTTTTCTGGAAAAATTTTATGCTTTATTATTTTGTCCCTTTTATCACTCTAACTTAAGGATCATTCTTCCACACTTGACTTTGAGAGTTGTTGGAAGTTATTACGTTTATACGTAAATACCTTTTAAAATATTTATCTATATATATATATACTTATTACATCGTACTTTGTATTATAATTTGTAAACGTAAATGAAATCGTAACATGGCAAAAACCCTAGAGTTCCTTGGTTATTCTTTCACTGAAAAAGTGCTGGTCTTGAAATATTTTGACATTCAGATCTTTAAACACAGCTTTGATTTGGATTCTGTTGTCATTGTGATTGGTTGTGACACGGGTTTAATAAATTTTCTCAAGAAAATTTTAATTAACGACGTTATTTTCGTTTGAATTAGTATATTTTTCTAAATTTCAATCTAATTATTGTACGTTAGTGTTTATTATTATTCGTAGCTAGCTTATCTACTGGGGATGGTAGAGATTGAACAGTATTCAGATCTTCAGATTTTTTGAAGAAGTTGAAAAACTAGGAAAAAAAAAGAAAAAAAAACACAGCTTTGGACGACTGTACCCTAATGATGGATTAAAGTCAAACCACGTATTGTGTGTTTTTATCGCTTCGTCAAGAGTATAGACAACGCAAGAATATTTACATTATATTACATTTCAATACATTACATTACATCTCTATAAACTTAGTTAAAGTTACAGCCTATATACGTCCCACTTCTGGGCACAGGCCTCCTCTGATTCCATAAAGGGTTTTAAGGCAAGGAAATATTTTATACGTGGTAGAGCCATGCTGCAGCTATATAAGTAGTATAGTTGTAGCACAAATGGGTCGGCTCGACCGGGGAAGGACCACGCTCTCACTGAATTTTCACCAGCGTTAAATAGCAGCTTAACACTGTTATGTTTCGTATGGTGAGTGTAGAGAACTGGAGACCCTTTTTGGGTCACAGCATCCACTTACCATCAGGTGGACGCATTCCATCTTAGTCCTCACGGGTGACATCGCATCTGCATTTTGATTCGCAAACGAGGATAAATGTAGATGTCTATGGGCCACAGCAACCAGTTACCATCAGGTGGACTGTGTGCTCGTTTGTCACCCTATCCTATAAAAAAAATCGTAATAATTTTTTTCTTATTTCTCAGGCATGCAGGTTTCCTGGTAAATCTCTAGCTCTTAAAATTGCACTTAACAATTTCATTGGTGCCGGCAGGGATCGAACACGGGTTGCTCGCGTACTGTGATACTTACTTCTTACCACCACGGCTCTCTGAGCTACCACGGCTCTTCTAAACCTCTATAATATATAATCAATTGCTGTCCGTTAGTCTCGCTCAAACCCGAAACTGGCTCGACCGAATCTGATGAAATTTTTGTGTGAGTTTGAATAGATCCCTGCATGGTTTAGATTCAGAATTATTGGCCGCGGTAGGTGGCGCTGTGTCGAGATCCGGAAATAACCCGTGTGACGCTGCTTTATAAAATCTATTTATTTTGGTAAACAATTATAGTTTTTTTTTCCTTAGGTAACACTACCTGTTAAAATAATAGAGCGCAAAATTTAAAACACGTAAATAATATATTGTAAAAGGCAGGAACCTCAAAACTTGAAAACGAGACTGTACAACCAGTGCGTGTTGCCAGTGATGACCTATGGAACTGAGACGTGGGAATTGAGACGTGGTCCTTCACTGCTGGCCGGATGAGAAAGCGAAAAAGCAATGTCGCTCAGCGAGCTATGGAGAGGGCTATGCTCGGAGTTTCTCTGTGTGATAAACTTAGAAATCAGAATATCCGCAGTAGAACCAGAGTGTAAGCTGAAGTGGCAATGGGCCGGCCATATCGCTAAGAACCGACAACCGATGGGGAAAAAGGGTTCTCGAGTGGCGGCCTCGTACCGACGGACGAAGTGTAGGGTGTCCCCCCACTAGATGGAGTGACGACCTGGTAAGACATGCAGGAAGTCGATGGATGCAGGTGGCTCAGGACCGTGCTTTGTGGCATTCCTTGGGGGAGGCCTATGTTCAGCAGTGGACTTGTAAAGGGCTGTAATGATGATGATGATGATGAAAAGACAGGAATACAATTAATTTTTTTTTCATCAAAATTAAATGAAACGCTCATGAGGCATGCACTTTTGGATTTTCCAAAACTATTTAAAAATATTTTTAGTACGACTGAATCGTGCATATCAAAACACATGTACACTAGGATATTCATCAGTATCGTGGAGGCAGTTTACAAACATAAATTACGCAAAAACAAACATCGTGATACGGAACAATTATTTTTAGGCCATACAAATACTTGTTCCGTGCGGGATACGAACCCGAAGCCCTCAACGCTACAGCTCATTGCTAAGTCACTGCGTCACGAACTCGTCGAATTATAACTTAAAATTAAAAATTTTGTACAGCCGACTTCAATATAAGTTATTTAAGAATAACTTAAAAACTATTGGTCTGACCTTGATCAAATTCATATGGGACTACACGAGAAGTACCAGCTTTCAAATAAAAAAAGAATCATCGAAATCGGTTCACCCAGAAAAAAGTTCTGAGGTAACACACATAAAAAAAAACGAAAAAAAAAAACATACAGTCGAATTGAGTACCGGCTCCTTTTTGGAAGTCGGCAGAAAACTAGAAAGAAAAACAATAGAAAATATTCATTCCCTTCTACGGCATCAAGCAACTTATAGTAATACATTTTTAATTGTATCAATATGTTCTAAGTTTGTATAGAACGAAGGATTTTTTTATTGTGCAAGTACCTATATCTCTATGTAATTACAAAGGTATTATAGTGAATTATAAAATTGATACCGAAGACTTTAATTTAGAACAAAGACTTTGTAACAACTGTTGCTCGGTAGCTAGCGGGTAGCTGGCATGATAAATATGCCACCCAATTGTATTTTCATTTACGACAGATACGGTTTTTAGGCAAATACAAAATAAAGTTACACTAACTGTAATTTACCGTGTAGTGGTGGTGTAAGAATATCCACTACCTCATATCTACCCGTGGGTGTCGTAAGAGGCGACAGAGGGAAACAAATCAGGAGATAGGCGGCAGCGTCTTCCTAATGACGACTAAAAATAAAAAACTGCGATTGCCAACCCGCTTGCCAATCGTGGCAACTATGGCAAATATCCCCCCTATGAGGCAATCTGTGGGGGAGGCCTATGTTCATCAGTGGACTTTAATAGGCTGTAATGGATGGATGTATAGAAGATAATCTACCAGGAGCACACGATCCATTGAGAGGTGACATTTTCAAATCAACAGTAACATTACAACTATGATAAAAATCCCCCCAGCAGTGGACTTTAGTAGCCTGTAACGGTAACGGTAACCTATCTGTAATAATAAAGTTGATAAAAATTACCTCGCGTACATCCGCTCGATAAAATAAAATGATGTATCTTACCTAGCTTGAAGAGCACCTACCGCCCTCCCTCAATTGCGTGCACTATCCCCGTCATCACTAATCCCAGCACCACTACTCCCAATACCCACTACACTAGGAAAGACACATCACTGACGACAATATGACACGTGTTTCGTCTCTACACGAGGCATCTTCAGGTGATGTAGACTCTGCAGTGGCTAACCGCTAAGTGAGTGGCGAGCCAAAATAACTACTATTTATACAGCCCGCTGACGCAACTAACAATAATTAATTATCTGTAATAACTTCAAATCACGTTGACGAAGCTATCTTGATCTGATCGGTCATAAGTTCTGTAATGCTATATTAAGGACCTGCGACACGGCGTAGCAAGGCACTTTTCGTTATGTCAAAAGATCCTGTGGCACTCGCGTCATGAAGAAGGATCCCGTGGTATCCCGCGGCATTGCAAACAAGTCAAGATGCGCTCGTGTACCGGGCGCTCGCGCGAGTCGCTGAGATCGCCGCCGTAGCGAGCTAGATTCAACCTTGTTTCAATTACATAGTAGTCACATTTCTATAACAAGATGAAGTAATTTGTGCGTTTCACGTGCAACAGCATGTCGCTGTATGCGTGTTGAAATAAAGGAATGTCAGCTCTAACAACGTTAGAATAAGGTCGAAGATCTTTTGCCCATGAAAAAATCCTTTGATACGTCGTGCCATGCCGTGCCGTCTGTGAGTGCAGACCTTAAGCCTTTAGGAATCCGTCATTCTACTACTGTCATAAACCACTCCTAACACACGCAGTTTAAGCTTACCAGGAGTGGTGGAGGGAATATTAGTAACGTTAAAATCACTGCAAGAATTTAAGAGAGAAAAAAAAACAGAATAAACATTTATAAATTTCATATTTAAATATCCTTATTTCTTGAATATCTAGTTAAAATTATTTCTATTTTGTTTCAGATCTTTCACACGCTGTAATGAAGCCAGAACAAACGGAAAACTATGATTTCATGCGGCTTAACACAAAGTGGCTGAAAACGCAACAAAATCAGCCACTTTTGATGTATTCAATTCCCGAAAATGTTTTTCGAAATCAATTTCAGTGAACTCTGTTGCCATGATACAATCGTGTGCTCGACGCGTTTAAACTCTGGTGTCGCGATAAGATCGGGTGCTCGGCGCGCTTACACTCCTTTACCGCGATAAGATCGAGTGCTCAGTGCGCATAGACTCTAGTGCAGTGATAAGATCGTGCGCTAAGTGTGAAGTGGAGTGAAAGTGTTCCTAAAGTGTTTATAGTCTGTTAAAAATTACGTGTAAAGTGTTTGTGAGATGCGAGACGGGTCCAGGCCCGGCCCGAGTGGTGGCTCTACGGGGCACGCGTTTGACAAAGACTTCGAAGGTAAGTGACTATATTCCAACTAGAATATTTTTTATAGGAGAGGGGGCAAACGAGCATGCGACTGCATGCTCGTTTGCATGTGCATGCAGTGCTCGAGAGATGCAACATCTCTACGCAGTGCCAGTGAATCAAGATGATCGAAAAGAACAAGTTATTTCTTTTACTAATAAGTTTGACAAACGAGCAAACAGTCCACCTGATGGTAAATGGATACTGTGGCACATAGACACCTACGTCTATCCTCGATTAATAATCAATATGCAGCTGTGTTGTCACCTGTGAAGACTGTCTCGTTTTTATTATAACCATAATACAGCTTCGGCATGGTTTCACTACGCATAAAACATGTGCGTATAATATTACGTGTTTAATTTACATGTCCCCCGTGACCATGGATGCTGGAAAGCACCCGAAACTTCAGGAAACTAAGTTAATTAAACGCGATAAAATCCGTAAAAGTAGTACGAGTATTATTCAATGTGTAGTGTTCGTGTAAATATAAGAAATCATTATATTACGGCTAATCAATCTATGAAAAATAAAATTTAATATTAGCTGGAATATTAGAACATTTACAGCTTTCATAGTTATCATAATCACTTGGCTTTAGCCATGAATAAATTCTGAAAAGTAAAAAAAAAAACTCACAGAATTTTATTACGAAACTAGCTTTGAAAAAAGACTAAAGCCTTCAAATATAGGGTATGTTCCAATAAACACTGTGACCGCTGTAAGGTGTTACATCAATTCAGTATACTGTGAAACCGTTCTTTTTTAGATTGCTATACTGGTTACTGTTTAAAACGCAACGCAGTCCAGTATACTGTCATCCCCATTATTCGACACTGTTTTCAAATGAAAATATTTATCATGTTTACAAAACAGCGTTTTTTTTTATTTAACAAGATGTTATTTGAATTTTGTTGCTTTTAAAACTTAATTAAGGAATTTATTTGAAAAACAAAATTAATTAATACTCATAACAACAATTCGTGGAAGCTGTTAAATCTCTAGGCGCTGTTATGTTTTTTGATCACGTGATCAAAGTGCTGCGAGCACCTTACCTCTAAGCAGCAGTGCTCACAGTACAAAAATGGCGACGGTTTATGACGGTTAATTCATATATTTCCCTAGGGTACTGCGGCAGTATACTGACAGTTTTTCTTATTTTAAAAAAAACGTTACCAAACTTACCAGACCCGGAACAATTATTTGTAGGCCATACAAATACTCGTTCCGTGCGGGATTCGAACCCGCAGCCCCCAGCGCAACAACTGATTGCTAAGCCACTGCGCCACGGAGCCGTCCATAAAGAAAGGAATTTTTTACCAGTGAGAGCAATGGGCAGTGCCCGCGGCGTATATCGGAACACGACCATAGTATGTCATATAAAATTTATTTGAATTTAGAATTCCAAGTCAAAGCACAGCTATAACAGTTCAAAGTGGCCAGTTAAACGAGACGAACATTTCATAGTTAAAGACCTTACATTAGCACTGGATGTTTCCCGTCAGAGATTCTTATGAAACTGGAGTTGGGTCATTATTAATGACTAAGTTTGCTGAACGCGATGTCACTTCGCGACTTTGCTGAATAATTTATTGCGGTTTTAACGCGGAAATGTTTCAACTATAATTTTCAAGCGACTTAAATCGCAATAACTTTGTTTAACTATATATACATAATATATAACATAAACAAAATTGAAGTTGAATTGATAAAACTGCCTTTTATCGACCTCATCTATCATAAGATTTTAAATATTGATTAAGCAAAAATTGTCTAGTAAGGGTTATTATATTACTAAAGAGTACATGACTGATAACAACCCCTGGGAATGAGGTGATCGATACCTTGCTGTTTCTAAATGCTTTCATTACAATTGTATAAAATATTATTATGTTGTAAAACTGTGCTTCTAAAAAAAATTCCCGCTGGGATCTTGCTGGTTCTTTCCAGGACACAGGTTCCGAAAACCTTAAAGTTTGTTCTTCGTGAAATGGAAAAATTGATAAAATAAATGTTCAATTATAATTATTATAAAAATCTTAATGCTCCACATACATTAACGTGGTAGAGCCACGCTGCAGCGATATTACGGTTGTAGCACCAAAGGGTCAGCTCGACCGGGGCAGTACCACGTTCTCAGAGAATACCATCGTAAAATATCAGCTCCATGCTGAGGTGTTTCGTATGGTGAGTATAGACAAACAGCGACCCTATTTACTGGAAACGAGACATTCCATCTTAGTCCTCAGGGGTAACAATACACCTGCATTTTGATTTTTAATCGAGGATAGATGTAGATAACCATGGACCGCAGCATCCATTTACCATCAGGTGGATTGTGTGGTCGTTTGTCACCCTTATTCTATTACAAAAAAAACACTAATATGGCGCTTACGGCGCCACCTATCGGATCTTTGAATCAACGTCAACAAACGAAATATTTTGTCTAATTGATATTTATGTTTTTGAGATTGACAGTATGAACGTAACCAATGTTTTCATGTTTTAATTTATCTAATGAATTGTATATCTAACACATATTATACATACATTTTAGCTTTCTGCACTCTTTCACCAACTAAATTTTAACTATGCCACACCTCACACTCCTCCGTGCGCGCAATTTATACAGGGTTATTTTGCAGTAACCGGTCAAGTTTGCAAAAAAATGTTCAGAATAAGTAATGCAAGCAAATGATGTAGGAAAATTAATTAAAAAAAATCACAAATACTCTTTTATTTTATCTTTTAAATTCGGAATGCGGGGTAATGCATTTATTTTACTACGCCCGCACACATTCGTAACGGTCGATCGGTTGGCTAAAACGTTGTTTTTTTTTTTGGAGTTTATGGCCTGGTATCTAGACCTTTAGGCCAAGTCTTAAGTATTTTTATTCGGTTTATTGTAATTTCCCCACTCCTTCATAGTATACTGCTTCACAATATGTTGATGCATCACATTGTGCAGTTCTTGGGAGATTTTGGCGGCAACTTGATCCAGCAGACAGCTGATAGTTGGCGATGGTATCTAAAGGTGCCTATGCAAACAAACAGCTTATCTTGAGAATCCATCACCATCAGAGCACTTGTTTCACTGTTTCCACTAATAGTTTACATGCGTAGACACTTAATACACAAAATCGCAACACTTTTACATATCAAAGTCCACTTCAAACCATTATTTAAACAATAATACAGGAGCAGCAAACCGCCGCCGGTCAATTTCCCGCCAAAAAAACTCGCTAAAACGTTGTGTATTAAATCGCACACAGAGTAGCACGCGTACGAGTAGTTGTTACCCATAAATCAATATCAATTTAGGATAATCTATACAAATATCGCGTTGAATTTCAGTTATTTTTAATTCTCGATGTTTCGAGTGCTTTGCAGACCGGACTGTGACGGGAGAGTTTTAATGTTGTTACGGACGAATTTGCACCGATAGGTGGTTACTAATTTGCTTAAAAAGAGTGAAAAGTTTTCTCTTCTCGTATTAATATATAGAATATATATACATGTAATGAAATGACATTTCCTTAAATTTAATTTGCCGCGCTTCGCGCGTGTGTTAGGTTGTCTGTGGAAATGAGTAGAGCGCAAAAAGCGCAAAAAGCGCATCGGAGTGACGCGCTTTTCAATGGCGGATGATGTACAGATTATTTTGTGATTTTATTGTTATAAAAAACTTGTACAAAGATAAATGAAGGGATATAATTGAGGAGGCGATATTAGTGAACTTTAAAAGTCGTTTCTTTTATATTTTCAGAGAAAGAATTTGTATTTAATAGTGAAAATGCCCAATAATATATCTTATATACATAAAACACGGATGAGAAATTTTATGTCTCCATGTTTTGAGATATGATCATACTTTCGTTCGTACAATGCGATCCACACTGTTTTGTTCAGCATCAGTCATGTGGAGAAAAACATACTTCAGAAACAACAATACACTCTCCATCTTTGCGAACTCCACTCAGAATAGGGGCATGTTTTTTTTAAACTGAAGTGACAAATCGTCTAGTGGCGGTGTAAGAAGGCGGCTTTACGTGGTAGAGCCATGCTGCAGGTATATATATAGTATAGTTGTAGCACGAATGGGTCGGCTCGACCGGGGAAGGACCACGCACTCACAGAATACCAGCGTAAAATAGCAGCTTAACACTGCTGTGTTTCGTATGGTGAGTGCAGGGAACTGGAGACCCTTTTTGGGTCACAGCATCATATATTTGTAACAACTCTAAATAATAAAAAATTGCGGTTGCCAAACCGCTTGCCAAGCGTGGAAATCATGGTAACTATGGCAAATATCGCCTCTATGAGGCAATCTATGGGGGAGGCCTATGTTCAGCAGTGGGGGGGGGGGGCTTTAATAGGCTGTAATGGACGGATGTATAGAAGATAATCTACCAGGAGCACATGACCCACTGAGAGGTGAAATTTTCAAATTAACAGTAACATTACAACTGGCGATATCCTACCTATGAGGCAATCTATGGTGAAGGCTCTTCAGCAGTGACTTTAACGGTAAATGGCTACTGCAGCCCTGCTGCTTCAAATGAGGAAAGCTATAGCCGCTGGTTCAGAGATTCCTAAAGTGGGGTCCGCGGAACCTAAGGGTTCCCTGCAAAAGTCACTGGGTTACCGCGAAATTATATATTATATTGCTTACTAAATAATTTCACACTTCGGTACAATTATTAGGTAGTTAGCAAAAATTATATTATAATACTAGCATTTCCCCGCGACTTCGCCCGCGTTCAATCAAGGGTTTTAAGTTTTTTTGCGCGGAACTCTGATTATTTTTCTAAAATATAAGTAGCCTAAGTTACTCCTTATAACATGAGTTATCTGCCAGTGAAAGTCCCGTCAAAATCAGTCCAGCAGTTTCGGAGATTAGCCGGAACAAACAGACAGACACACAGACAAACAGACAAATATTTTAAAAATCGTGTTTTTGTATAAGTACACTTTCATATGTATTTAATAGA